CATATATATACGCACCTTCATGGTCAATGGATCCACCACGTGCACATAACCGACAGCCTCACCCGCAGTCCGCCCGTTGCCATGGCGCATCTTGACGCGAATTGCTCCCACACCCGCGCCACGTGCATAGATCTCAGTGGAGATCTCACCCTCGTTGTCAAGGCTCACACCTGCTTGGTGATACCTCGGGCGAAGCTGTGTTCAGTACAGAAGTGAGCGCATTTGAGTTTTAGGGTTTTAGGATTTAGGGTTTTAGCAGAAGTGAGTGCATTTGAGTGTATTGGGGAGTGATGGGTCGTGTGCGCTGCCTGACGCCCAAAAAAGATGAGCACGGGGGTGTAGTGTCCATGCTAGTCGTGATGTTCCTTCGGGTCAGGCGTTTGGTTGAAAAAAAATGTGAACCTAAAAGGCGATACTGCGTGGCAGAAGCCATTTCTAGCAGAAAAATGTTCATCTCAAGCCCAGAATGTATTGAATACACCCAACAGTGAGAGCGAATACAATTCCTTGTTTGGTGACATACTAGCGCAAAGGTTGCAAGTGGCGTAGCAGACGGAAACAGGACTACTCAGAAGCAAACGGACGTAAACAAAAGGAATCAGAAGTTAACACAAGTAAAGAGAAGTAAAGAAAAGTTAAAAGAAGTATACATCAATAAACAGAACAACACATAAGAGAAAAGTAGTAAACAGAAAGGGTGCACGCACAGACCGCCCCACCTCAAGAACATCGGGGGACTCATTCTCCCACTCGAAGGTCAAACTGCCTGCTCTGTCGAACATCATGGGCGTCATGCCCTCCGACCCCATCACGTGCACCGGTAAACGGGCACCTTTGATGACGCTGCAATGCGAGGCACACCAATGGGAAGAGGTGAGACAGTTGGCGGTTGTGTGTGGTACATTAATCTTTTAGAGAGATATAAGCGGTACAGAACACCACATGATGGGAGGTCATGTATGGCAGACCCTGAAAAAATATTTTGATAGCAGCGCGGGAGAGAGAGATAGAGAGAGAGAGAACACACGGAGAGTGAGGTCCACACCAACTGGAAACTTACCTACAAGCGCATAAGAGCTAAGCACAGGAGATAAAAACAACGGAGTGACAATCAACCGAGAAATCAACCGGAGCAAAGCCACACCACCCCACGCATCTAATTTATGAATGTACAAAAACACCCACGCAGACTTGTACGCACACGCATGAACTAATCACAAAACTACACATACGTCTACACACATATAGGAACCTCACACATACACACACAAGAAAGCATGCACACACACACACACGCACCTGAACTTTGGCAGAACCAAGCCAAAGCTCTTGAGCGACACCACAGTGACTGTGGTTGCGGCAGTGCTAATCTCACACTGTGCACCGCTCACCGGATCCTTCTGTTCAGAGACAGCGGTCAACTGCGCCACACCCGCAGACACAGCCGACACCACACCTTTAGCAGACACAGCTACGACCTACAGCGCATGAGTGAACGGATGGCAAAGGATGAAGGATGAGGGAAACAGGCGATAATGTGAGTTCATGGTGACAGGCTATTTTTAGGGGCTAGGGTTTAAACCCTGAAAATAGGGTGAGCGTGTGGGCGCATAGGGGCTGGTGTAAAACTTACAACAGCAAACAACGACAACACAACAGGCGATGTGGAGTAGCCCAAACATGACACGACGACACGAACGAACCCCCTGGGCAAGCCCATAGATCAGTCAGTGCACAATGTAGACTTAGACTATTCCCTCAGACAATACGGCTATTCGTTTGTACCGTTGGCGTATAATTCTTTCTCTTTCCGATTACATTTACAACCGATCTCTCAATAGACAACCTACAGCACACGAATAAATTACACTACTATACGAATCCGGCGGCCCTGTCTAACAAACCTCTAGAAAACTCCCAACTACACCAATATGCTTCGCCATTCTTTGCAGGCATTCACTGCTACACCCATACTCAGCTGACAGACCACTCTCACACATCCACTGCTACACCCATACTCAGCTAGCAGGTCCACTCATACACATCCACTGCTACACCCATACTCAGCTAACAGACCACTCACACACATCCACTGCTACACCCATACTCAGCTGACAAACCACTCACACACCTTCTCGTTGGACGTGTGGTAGTGTACGGACGGGTGTTCTCGACGGTCGCCTGCAAGTGCGTGGGGCACTTCACTGCCCTCAAACAAACGCTCACTCATCTGAAAGCGCAGCGGAGCCTCAACAGACACACTGTACTGAGCCTCCCGCACCACAGCTATGTACACAGCGTAGGATATAACATCACAGCGGAGTGAGCAGGATGATTACAAAAAAACATAGCGAGGTGGGTAGGACAAATGATAGAATCAATACAACAATCAATATAACATTAATGATAATTATTAATATCACGGGCTAATGGGAGTATTCAAAAAGAATAGTCCGGTCAACAGGATGTTTAACGAGGTCGATGACGTGTAGATCGAAGTAAACAGGACATCATGGTCCCTTTAATGGGTTGACCGGAGACGAAGATATAGTAGGATAAACTGGGCATGGTCAGGGAAGTTTAGGAAGAAGAGGCGGTGCCCATTCCGCAGATGTAGGTGTATCCACAGCAACACAAGCAGTACAGATCGGATAGAGACTCTCTCCGTGATTTACAGGATCAAATCGATACATCTTGGAGGGCCCAATGAGAACACACATATCACACACACACACACCCCCACTCCCACCCACACAAGCACTTACACGAGCCCTTGGCAATGACCTTTGCCTTCACAGTGTATGTGCCTGGTGCTTTGCCGTGCAGCGTGAATCTGAGCTCCTCCTCCCCGGTCATGACTTTGGGGTCGTCTGCGCCGAGTCGCAGGCCACTGCCGCCCACGTCCAGGTGCACAGTAAAGCGTTCGTGGACGTGCATGTTGTGTAGACCTACGGGTGTGCCTGCGTCGCTAAGCAGTTTCACATACAAAAACACGGGCTTCTGCACGGCCACACTGGGACATCCTCGCATCTCCACCTTGCCGATCCCTGCGAGTGAGTGCAACGTACAAACGATGAGGATGAGGTAAACACGCACAGCATGTGAGCGAAAGGTCGGCACTCACAGCGGGGTGATCTGTTCTCAGTTGTGCGAAAGCTACAGGGACTAAGAATGGCACAGGCACACGGATTGATAACAAGCTATGCACAGGAAATAATTCATACAAACAACTCGGCACTGTGGTGTATGAGAAAGTGAATACGTCTGATACGAGTACTAGAATGCGGAGGCACATGACCCACTACCTTGAACACTCATGCCAGATGCGTTAAAGGGACACCTCCCATACAAGTATAATTCTCACAACACACCCATACACTTCCCACCAAGGTAAATTTGCACCTAAAGCAGCAATGTCCAAGAGACTCCTATTCACAGGGAGTGAAAGGTGACACCCAAGCTGGCAATACACACACACACACACCCACCCACACAACACACACACACACACCACACACACACACCACCACACCACCACCACACAACACACACACACACACACCACCCACCACACACACACCACCACCACCACACACACACACACACAGAGAAACGCCCCCTATGTCTCCCATTCATACAGGACGCAGTGCACTCAGCATACCATGAATGGTGACCATGGCAGTGGCAGCCTTCATCTGCGCAGGTGTGAAACAGACGTCTGTCGCGTGCACCTGTGTGTGGCCCGCCTTTCCCGCAGACTGCACAAGCACCTCGGCCGTCCCGGAATTGATCCCGGTATTCGAGAGCGTAGCCCGGGCGATGGCCTCGTCATCCGCGTACACGTGCACAATGCCTGACCCGTGCTTGAGCGTAAAGGCTTTGCTGGTTGTGTTGGGGTACAGATGCAGCTCACGCGGTGATGCGGTTATGGGCTTCACCACGTGTACACTGAACGAGGTGGTAGGTAGTTTCTGATGGGAAGTGTCAACGTCTTTGACGCCTGTCAACCGGATGGTGATGGTCACCGGGCCCTCCTTGTCCAGAGTCACCAGTGTTGGCCTGCTAGTTAAGTGCGGAGGTGTATGAGGCGACGGCAGGACGAATAGACACCCATCACCACTCAGCCATACAATACAGCAGCAGCCCAAGCACCAAACAACACCGAACCCGATGTCACTCAGTGAAACGATGCTGACGTCAATTTCAAACATTAAAACTGCAGTGCACGTGCACTGTATGATGGAAATACAAGGTAGACTGACATGCACACTAGAAGTGCAAGCATAGCGCCTAAGGATATGACGGGAGATTGGCGATTAGTTGCATGCAAAATAAAACTGTAAACCCTAAAGCACACTTTTGGTGAGGACAACAACAATCATGCAGCGCCCGTTTCTACTATACAACTCCTACTGTGTGCAACTCACCTCTCAGGGTTTGTTGTGTCGACCCGTGCGATGGTCTCGTCGGATGACGTGTACTCGAATTGATAGAGTCCCTCCACGCCATCCGCCTTCTCTGTGGGCGATGCTTCGCCACCAGCGGCTGTTTGTGCACAGCGATGGGATGCAGTTGTTGTTGAGAGGAGAATGCGCAACATGTGAACGAATGGAAACCGCACAGAGGCGTGCGACTCAACAACTGACCAACGGCTACAGTGCAATTGCCTCTATAGGTATAAGAACATCTCACGCCGTCACCATGACAACCAGTATTCCGACTAAAGCGCGGGTGTGGTAGATGGTACTCCCCCTACAGCCGAGCAAAACCCGAGAAACCGAAATCGCACCCAACCGAAAACGCACATCTTTGAAAGCGGGACCAACATACCCAATACCGGGATCCAAAACTCATTGGTGGTCTTCGTGAGCATGTAGGTGCGACCGAGACATCTCTCAGCCAGGGCAGCCATCTGTGGGTCAGACTGCAGATGACGCGGCACAGTGTCAATGGACAGGCCTTGCGGTGCTGAGAACGCAGGAGCCTGTCCCAAACTATTTATAGCACAGGGACGATGGTGCAGTGCGAGGTTAATAAGGAGAGGGGATTGGTTGGTCGATAGTAAGTGGATGGATAAACGGCATCACGTCAAAAGGAAGAAGTGGCAAGCATTGGTAGTACCAGCCAGACCAAAGTAAATACAAAAATCCCCAGAAATGGATACAAGGCACGATATCAATACAACGTATAAATACAACACAATATATGATACAACAGAACAAGTAACAGTGACACCTGGGTACGTGCAGCTACACGTTAAGTACCTTGATGGCAGGTTGCAGGTGACGGTTGTGGTGACATTGGCCACATGCGTAGTGAAGCCCATGTGCGCGTGCTGATTGCCCACAACTATCTGCAGATCATGTGTCCCCAGCGCAGTGCATCTTAAGGTCCAAGCAAACCCTGCAAGCAACAGTCAAGCAAGAGTCTAAGCAACAGTCAAGCAACAGTCTAATCAAGAGTCAAGCAAGAGTCTAAGCAACAGTCAAGCAAGAGTCTAAGCAACAGTCAAGCAGCAGTCTAAGCAACAGTCAGGCTATACTTTAGAGACGCAGTGGTCCGCATGTGGCTCGCTATAGTCGGCGAAATGTTTCAGAGCGGCTTCACGTTTACTTCGCTTACATCAGATGTCACAATAGGTGCACAACGTAATTATTTGATTTTAGGGTACTAAACCCTGAAACTTCAGTATTTCCAGTTCTGAGTGGTTGTCGCCCCATGTGGAAATGATTGGTTGCGTTCGTGTTTGAATGTTTGTGTACACCATACATAACAGATAAGCACTTTGAAACACCGCTTGTACCGTTGTAGCCTTCTCTAAACTTGCGGTTTCGGGACATATGCTCTTGCATGTCATCGTCACCGCGGCGCGCACATACACGCACACACTGTCACTCAAAATATATACACACAGAAATCTGTGCACGCATACACATAGGGATGTGCATTTCAGTCGCAATACAGGCACACGTTTGTCATTGAACTATCTGTAAAGAGATGTGTGTAGTTTGCTATTGCAATTGGACCCAACCGACGCCCAGCTACCTTGGATGGATGAATTAGGGCCTGGCCTGTGCACAGCGATGGGATGGTAGTCCTTGACCACCTCCAGCCCGCGCAATTCTTGGTCTTGGTCGAAAATTAGATCTACAACGTGTTTTGATTGGTCGAGCGGCCACGGCAGCGGCCCTCCCGACACACGTAAGTGCGCGGTAGTGCCCATCACCAGCTGATGCTCGTCGTTCGTCGAGTCCACTTGCAAAGGAAAGTACGCAAAGATCTCCAGGGTGGCCGTGAGCATCGTGCTTCCGTCTCTGATGATACGAAGAGAAAAGAGTATGTGAACGTATGTTAACGCCAGAGACACAGTTGGCCCTAACGCTGCATGTTTTAGGGCTGCATGGACACATCCCTATGGTCTATTCTCGGGGTATTATCTCAGAGAGATGGCCATTTAGATCACTCAGATACGTGTCAGTCACTCACACACTGCTCGCCTTATGACAACTACCTATCCACATGTGGTAATACTATAGGTATTATCTCAGAGAGATGGCCACTTAGATCACTCAGATACGTGTCACTCACTCACACACTGCTCGCCTTATGACAACTACTTATCCACATGTGGTTATACTATAGGCCGTGCAAACTGGTGATACCACTATCCCGCCACAATTAATACAAAACAACTGGCAATACAAGCACAACCCTAGCAATGATTCATTTCCCACGCCCGTCGAAAGCTATACTTGTCAGGCAGACATGTGCATCAACATGCATATATCTGCATACGACAGTTGTGATAGTCAGCACAGGCCGGTATGTCTACGTTTACACAACACTAGTGCATGCACTACCCTCGTACTACCCTTGGCTACGTTTGCGCATGTAGCCTCACCTGTAGACGGCAGTCAGGGTCGTGTGGCCTTCGCGGTTGGCTTTGACCAACACAGCAGTGCAGCCGCTGTTGCCGGGAGTGTTGGTGCGGCGGTCCTTGAGCACCACCACAGTGGGCACTTCCGAATGGCCCTCAATGGAGAAAATGGACTCATCGTCCGACGTGTAGGTCAGCGGCAGCGATGTGCACGCCTCAAACGTCGTCAGTTTGCCACCGTCTGTATGCGGGTGGGCAAGTGCAAGTGTGTATGGGTTGCTATTGCTAGGTGATTTGTGTACGCGCCTGTGTGTGCATACGACTATGTATCTATAGTAAAAGGCGTAGAGTACACAGTAGATGGTAGCATCACATGCCGCGAGGGGTGACCAAGTAACGTCATATGTTTGGCGCGAGGGAAACATTGGGAGTATCATTTTTGAGCTATAGGTAATGATTAACATTCTATCTATATACGGCGATTGACGCAAAAACATACACACATGCACCTGAGTACCCAGATACGCATCTAGATATGATACGACACACACACTGAAACAAACAAAGCACGCCAAAGGCAGTATAAATTTAACACACCAAACGTAGAAGATAGCAGTTGCCCTATCGAGTACACCCACATTGACAAACACCTGCCACACATTGCTGTAAACACCAACAATAGACTCCAATGGAATAGACACCAATGGAATAGACACCAGGACAGTGGAAGTGGTTACCTTGACTCTGCCCCGTGACACGCAGCGGTACCACCATGGTCTCTCCCGCAGCAATCTCAATGGCAATGGGCACAAAGTGCATCTCCACAATGTCCACCACGTGCACCTCCACGGCAATCGTGTTGTAGCACAGTCGCGTGTCGGTGATTATCACTTTGGTTGCGCCCTTGCCCACGGCCGAGAAGCTCACGCTCTGAGTGTGTGCGGCGAAAGTGTCACGGTGTGGGATGTTAGGAGGGAGAGTGCTGGTTCGTTTAGGGGAAGCAAACCCCAAAACCCTAAAACTCTAAAACCTCAATTTTACTCGGAATTCGGTAAAAGAATAATCTGTAGGTCAATAAGATGCATGACATACGCGCACGAGGGACAAGTCTTCGCAATAGCAGCCAAAGTTTATCCAAACTTCGTATGTGGGCGCAACTACTATTTCATATTGGACAAGGCAATACACCATTTCCATACACAAGACTTATCATCCAGCACAACCCAACTGCTCACGATTGCAAGATATGGAGCACACGTGTATACACAATCACATACTGTCCACTCACCATTGAAAGCCAGTAGGTGTGGGTGCATATGCGATGTGGAAAAATGAAGGAGGGGGCACGGAAAAAGACGTTATTAGGAACAAAACGTATATGCGACTTCGTTGTCAGTCTATTTATAGCACGTCAACAAATTGCCCACTCTGTCCAACCATCCCAATCTGAGTGTAAGGACACATATCCGCCTCACAACACACTTGCAAAGATTAGCTTGCCCAAAAAACGCCCAGTCAGTATCCACAGATTCATCGTCTCACATGTACAGGGCTCCCCTTACCTGTCCACCGTTATCGTTTAGTTTCTCAGTGATCTTGACCACGTGGTCGTCTACCACGCGCCACGTGTAATCACCACTGCCACCCGTCACAGTCAGACTGTTCTTGTGCACTGCCAGCGACCGTTGTCTCGGCACATAGATCCGCTCAGCACTCGCCTATAGGTGTACACACAATGACATGAGGTAGAAATAAGCTAATGTGCATGGATACAGACAAGAGTAATCCACAATATTATGTGCATGGATAGAGACACAAACCCTAAACCCTAAGGTACAGGCAATTACTTGAACCTAATAGTGAGACAAACCAGCAATAAGGAGAGAGACCCAAAAGAGACACGCCAGTAAGCGCATGCACACAAGCAACAGGGCAACACAAGCAATGTATATGCACACAAGCAACAGGACAACACAGGTTATGTATATGCACACAAACTACAGGGCAACACAAGCAATGTATATGCACACAAGCAACAGGACAACACAAGCAATGTATATACACACAAACTACTAGGCAACAAAAGCAATGTATACGCACACAAGCAACAGGACGACACAAGCAATGTATATACACACAAACTACAGGGCAGCACAAGCAATGTATAGTATCTATCCGTAACAGAACATTAACAAGGCGTGCAAACAATACCCAAATCGCCTCTATGCGCATGAAAACTAAAACAACACCAATCCTTCTGTGAGCAACACGAACGAAGACTACAACTACGATGCGGTTTAACATTGACGACGAGAGGCGTGTTGGCTAATAACGCAACCCACGAGATTGTGCACACACAGCTGCAGCCACGAAGGCTGTGTGCTGAGTGCTCTTGTGCATGTGTGGGTCCACACTGCCGCTTGTAAATGCTGTATCAATGAACAGTGCACAAGCAGGCAGACAATCGCTGTTCATCTAGATTACAGTGGCGCATTAGATACGGTCGTTCTCGGGCAAATTAGCATGCGCACGTGACATATACTCACCAACAACCCGTACATCGCCCCAGCAGACAAATGTGCACACACCTGCAAGCCACTGAGCACAATGATAGGCTGCATGATGCTAAGAGGGGCGGGCAAGCGGTACACCAGGTCATCTCTCCTGAACTCCGCCAGAGACGCCTTGAGCTGTTGGGTGACCTGTGCCTTCACCGCCTGCATACGGAACACTGTCCCGATATCCCCTTTGGGCGTCCCGTTATCAGCATTGGACATGGTACTGAGAGTGGTGATATGCACAGCTCCACTGCGCACTGCATCGGTTGATGTGTCTGGCTCAATGACGGCGTGCTCCTGGTGGCATGTGCACACATTGTCTGTGATGAAAGCGGAGGAGAGATAAGTAAGCGTGTGGGGCAAGGTTTAAAGCGTAAGAATAAATATAGACACATTTATGGAGCGAGTGAGTGCCATGGGCAGGAATTTACACGTGATGAAGAAGTAATCTTGTCAGCCATAACTTGGAATACGGACCGGATAGTGGCATCGATGCAAGTGTGAAGTTGGGTGATAGGAGCATATAGAACAAGTCCCCAACTATAGATGGGCATGGACGACCCAACTGCAAATGGCCTAGTACGGCGAGAATGGCACATTCGTGCAGTGCAGAGAACAGGAGAGACGGTTTACGCGATAAGTGCTATCCAGACTCACAAAAGACCATAAATTCACGGGCGATATCAGTGTCTCGAGGTGAGAAGTGTGAACTATAGCCCACCTGAGTACCGCACATCAGATGTTAGCTTTGAAGGATAAGGTTTACGTTAAAGCATCAGAAAAGACGCCAAAGACCATCAGCATGACGAAAGCCGAACACCTGCTCCTGACTACGAGCCAAACATTGCGACTCAACAGACACACACTTGCCCACACAGGGATAAATCAGCGAAGGGAACATACAACTACACACAACCGTCACATACTGGTGCACACGCTCACAGCCCACTACGAGGCATAGTGATTCAATCAGCAAAGGGGACACATACATATATAAAGAAATGATACACACCTATATATCACAGCAACAGAACATGTACACCCGTATGTCAGAAAAGGAGACGCATGTATATATATATATATAAATATATATATATATATAGATAGATAGATATATACATACA